AAACTGCGGGGAACTCTGCAAAAAACGCATCTTCGCACGGACAGCCCGTGCGTTGGCCAATTATTTACAACTGAAATGTGATCCAAGAAATATTTTTGCGATTCCTTTCGAATTAAAAGTGTTTCTGAAGACTGAATGCTTCATTTGTTAATGCAGTTGATTCAGTTACGATGAACCAACGTCCCACCTATGAATTTTTGGCGAGAGGTTTAAAGATTTATAAAAGTGCAAAGAAAGTGAGGAGAAAGTGAAGGATGCAAAATTTTGCAAGTTTCGGGAGCAGATTTTCAAAGGCGTTTTTTTCACCTTTTAAAATAATTATCAATTAGCAGCAAATTAACAGTTCAAGGACCAGTAATGGGTGTGCGAAAATAAAATTAATGGTATGTCGAAGTACTGCGAACTTTGAAAAAGGACAGTTGGTCATACCACTGCAGAAGAAACCTGGGTACTGGCCTCCCCCGCACCCTGCATACGTCACTCAAGATACCAATAATAAAATGGCAGTGCGCATGTTTTTGAACCGGAACTATTAGATAATAAAACTATTAACAGAAAGGCACCTGTGTCGTGGAAACCAGCCGGCATGGCGACCAGACCACCACCAACCATATCAGCAACGATTATAACAGCTGCAATGAACCAATTGTAACCTCGGCCGGAATGCATCGGCTTGGTTTCAACATCTTCGCCACCAATCCCATCCACTGCTTCCATCGATAAACCATTTCGAACTTGTGTTTTGGTACTGGAAGCCGATGTCCCGCTTACTTCAGACAGTTCGGTTTCTGCTTGGGCAGGTGTTGCACTGCTACTGTCGCCTATTAATACACCCATTGTTTAGGTTAATCAAATCCTGAAATTTAGAACTTTAATATATTTGATTTAGATCAGTAAACTGAAGTCATAATGATTAATCAAAACACAAAGCGGTAGGAGGAGGCAGCGCTGATGATTTCCATTCATCTCCGTCCGCTTTGCTCTGTCTGTGTTTACAGCTGAGGGATGAAACAGGCTTCTCTGCAACATGTCCATCAGTGCGATGAATTTAGAACCATTATCTCTGATCCTCACGATTCGTAAGACTTAGTAATGAAGATCCTTTTGAACAAAAATCCAGTAAAGTGAGGCTATCAGAATCAACCATCCCTTGATTGAAGTGCCTTTTCTGGTACGCTCCCTGTTTTTACTGAACCGTTTTTCATTTTATTCCCACCTTTTAACTGTTATGTGCTGCATAAGGTGAAAAAAATGCTGTTAAAAATTTTTTAGTACGCTGCAGCACTGATCAGCTAGCTGGATATTGGGCCTTCTAGCTGGATTAACTTTTTCACTTTTAATTCTTTGATGCACTTTTTCTATTTTTTAAAATGAACACAGTTGCACTTTTCCCTCGATTTTATTATTGCATTTGTTTTAAATTGTTCGGAAAGTCTTGGTATTTTTACGCAAAAAATGCCATGATTTCCTGCGCATCAGTGTGAATAACCTATGTTAGTAAAGCTACTGGAATTTCTCCACATGCCGAGCACATGTATATTAAGGTCTTTGATTCTAGACTGTGTGCTCCATTCAGTCCCACTGCCTGTGTTTAATTAACCCAGGCTGGAACACACCAGGCTTGCCGGCGCGACCATGCGGTTTTGTGTCAAGCTTGAAGTAGTCAGGTCGTTAAACTGCATGAGTGGTTGTTGCTTTACACACTTACCTTATGCGTACTTATTGCAAGCCATAGCGAATTTTACGAGAAGGTATTTTCGCTTAGCCATTGTTTCTTGAAAATGATCTAACTATTCAGTGGGTAATTTTACGCCAGAAATTTTATTGGCCGTTTGCTAGAACCACGCGTACTAGGGTGCTAGATTGGAAATTTTTAATTTGAACGTGAGCGGAGCATGTACCCTTAAAATTTCAGCCTTCCAACTTTTCTGGCTCCAAGTTGACAATCTTCCCGGCAGAATTTTCACGTGTTTGTACTTGAGAACCATAAACACCTAGGGACTGAATTTGAAATCTTTAGTTCACTTATGCATAGAAAATATCTCTGCAAAGTTTCAGCCCTCTATCTTTCTTGGCTTCCGAGATCGCCCTCATGCCAAAAAATTTGCATATTTTTTTAAGGCGCCCGTACGTAGGACCTAGGCGTACACGGGTAATGATATTAAAACGGGAGTTTCACACATGATGTGGGCACATATTCCCGAAGTTTCAGCTTTCTACCTTTTCTGGTTTTCGAATTGAAAGTGGGTGACAAAAAGTGCGAACACACAGACAGACACATACACACACAAACACACACAGACAACCTCTTGCCAATATGCGTTTTTGCATTTGCATATATGTAGAAACGCATAAATATTTGGGAAATAATCAGTGATGCTTGATTGGATCTTTTTAATCGCGCAAAAAAACACAAAATTTGTTGTGCATGCACAACAAGTTGAATCACAGCTGGTCTAGATTTCCGAAGAAAAGCAGGAAGGAGCGGAAACTGCGGGTCAGAAGAGATTTCACTGATTCCAGAAGAGAAATCCCGCTGAATTTTTTGAATAGTTCTAAATGGCTCCTCGTCACATGTTAAAAACACATGACAACCGGACTCTCTTCACACGGTCTGAGCTTCATATTACTCCTTCATTCCAGTTCCTACACTTCACCACACTCCTATTTCTCCTTTTTTCGTTTCTAATTTTTCAATCACAACAATAATTTCAAAAAAAAAAATTATGATTTTTTGATTTGCCAATTGAGCGACACTACTGTTCTTAATCACAGCGATAAAAATATGCTGAAAAACTACTGTCTTTGAAACGATGTAAAAAACACTGTAGTGTAAAAAAATATCTTTGCTTTGAACAGTAGTAGGACCGCCAGTTTCCTGTCGGTGATAATGAAATGATAAAAGCTAAAAAGGCATCTTAGCCAAACACACTTCTTAAGAACCCTTAAGCTCTTAACACAACAATGATGCCGCTTTATCACTGCTTACTGATAAGGAAATCTCATTTCTGTCTGTGAGCTCTGACAACACAGATTTTTTTAGTGAGTGAAATTATAGCTCCTGCGAGTTTTTTTTATTGATTTCCTGTCTTCATTATCTTGTACTTCTCAAAGCAAAACCCAGCCACCCAGATCCTTTTTTTTCAATAGCGCAAGCTTGTAAAATATGCAATGAATTGGATTTTCACGAAAGTATACTACAGTAGTGTGTCTTCGTTCTTCGAAAAGGTGCGAGCTAAATTTGGTATTAATCAAAAATTAAAGGTTTCCCCATTTGTTACTTTTTTGTGCGTTTTTGCATCACAGAGTACAAAGTAGAAGCAAAGTAGAGAGGGATCATGTCTGTCTACATGTGCCCACATATGTATATCTGTTCGTGTGTACACCTGTCTGCCTCTCGGACAAGATGTCGCGATTTTAGAATCAAAGAAATTACAGTCCAGAAATTCAAGAAGCAGCGTTTTTTCTTATTGCGAGGTTAGTGATCCAAATCAGCTCTCGCTTCTTTTTGTGTCCCAACCGTTGACCTTTAGATTCATGTTAATTTCGTAATTTGAGAGCAAAGTAAGCCTCTTTACTTTGTGGTCAGAGTTCGAAGATCTGATTTAGCTCCGCGACCCGTCACCATGTTGACACAGTCATAAAATGCATAATGCCCACAAATCTTTATTCATGTGTACGTTATAATCACCATCCATCAAAAGGATCAAAAAGTATCGTGATTTGAACTCCTACGTTTTTTTGTCGCATTGATTCAGGTTGAGTCCAGAACCAACTTTGCGCGAAAAAGTACAAATAACAGGGCTTTGTCCTTTAGTCCCGAACGGCACTGATGAACCCAAAGTAGGGAGAGGTCATGTCTGTCCACATGTGTCCACATATGCTTGTTTCTTAGTGTGTACACCTCTGTACATGCGCTTGTGCATCTGCCTGCGTTTCGGGTAAGATGTTACTCTATTACTTGTTCGTATGTGCGTCATTTATTTTTAAAGAATTATCATTAGAAAAAAAAATTCTATCATATACGTCGAAAAAGGCGGTTTTTAAGAACTAAGAACTGAGGGCATGCAGTTCAGGATCGAAAGACCTGACGTAGCTGCGCCCAACGTGCGGGAGCATCCCAGTAACATCACAAGCAATGGGATTTTCATGCTGATGGCCCGAGTGGCCTCGGTGTTAATCAGTAAAAATGTAAAGAAAAAGTTGTTCATGATCTCTGCAAAAAACTGCCAAATAAGTCGATTAGTTTTGAAACCACTGTAATGCCAAGAAAGAAAGGGAGTAAGACTGAGGCGATAAAATGCCTTTCCGCATCCGAGCCAATCAGCTGAAGTGGATGGGAAAGCGAATTTTCTGCCCAATTTAAGGTAACGCCCAAAGTTTGGCACTGTATATAAATACAGTGCCAAACTTTGGGCGTTACCTTAAAGGATCTTGGGCGTGTTTCTGTTGACCCAGGAAAAATGCTGGATCAGTCAAGTATGGCCCTACCCCATCCCAAAATTTCCAGGTCTGCTGGGCTCTGGAATTCCTTTCGGATTAATTTCTTTTGCACAATGCCGACAGTAATGGCTGATAAGGCTTATCAGCATACTTATCAACAGATATGAAGGAAAATGTCTCGACAAAAATAACCCATTAGGTGCATTTTCTCGTGGATTAAACGAAGCCCGCCATCTCTGTGCGCTTTGAGGAAATCGGCGGATTTTGTAAAGGATTAACCTCATCTTATCTTTTCCAGATCCTCCTATCCAAAAGCAACATACCCTACTCAGAAAAGTAGCTTTTTTTCACAACAAAAATAATAAGAATTTTTTTTATTCTTTGAATTACACTGCATTAGTGTCAAAAACCTTTTTTAAGACAGAAATTAAAGCAAGGACTTGTAAAAATACACTAAATTAGTTCTTTATAAGCCCCGAAACGTTGACGAAAAGAACGAAGAATAATTGGTTCCTTAATGTGATTTCAGCAAGTTTTCTCAAAATGCAAGCAAATTCGTTTCCAAAACTTTGCGGTGGAAACTCAGTTTTAAAATGAGGTACTGAGTGAAGAAATCAAAGAAATGCTTCTTGGCAGGCTAATTTGCAGACCCAGACAAGTGATAGAAAAGCAGCATGATAAGAAGCGCTTGTTTTCGGCTAAAACAAATATTGCTGATGAGGAACGATAGGAATTCGCTTAATAAAATACACAGAATCTGACTACTGTTGGCAACGGAGAATTGGACCAAAGAAAATTAAATTCCATCGAATCTGTCAAACTAACATTTAAAGAGAGCGCAATAATATTTATTATTATAATACAATAATAAATAATAATACAAACAATAGAATTTTGGGTCCGTTGTATTTTTTTTTCTGCGCTCCACACCAGTTCTTTTGGCCCTTGTAACATTATATTTGACGAAAAGGAATTACAATGTTGCAATTTTTCGCAAAATGGAAATGCTTTGAAATTTTTGCTCCTCGACAGAAAATCAAGTGTTTTCTCTTCAAAGTCAAATTCTCTCTACAATTTAACCTCGAACGTAGTATTAGTAGTAACAGTTTAATAACAGCAACCTGCTGATGCGCTGCTTTTCTTGAGGGATTTTTTAAAAACAAGCTGATGGCAGCTCTAATCCATGGTATTGCTATGGTTTAGGACATTATTCGAAATAGCTTAACAGATGCAAAATGTTGAACTATATTAGCATTTTTAACTGACCGGAGCACCCTTGTTGATCGATGTTTTGGCTAGCGACTTAATTCCCCTCAGTGAAGAATTTAAACTAACTGAAGATGCAGGTTGTGATGTGTGATAGGTAAAATATCTAGTAAGATTTTCTGAAAATT